AGGCAGGATATAAATCGAAAAATAAAAATAATAAAATAAAATGGAGCAGTGTAAGCTGCCTTGGGGTTACTCACAGGAGGACAAGAGGTGGGATGTAAATACAATGCAGTAAGAATACTAATAACACGTGATTTGGGATGGCCAAGAGCCACAGCCAAAATCTACTCAATCAACATGCACTGAAGGCTTTCCTCTGAGGGAGGCTTGGATAGAGGTGACGTGGGGCAAAGGCCTTCTCCGTGTTGGCCCCCAGTTATGGACCGATCACTCAAAGAGGCACATCTGGCACCAACACTGTCCTCTTTTCAGTGCCAAGTTAAGACTGCCTTCCGCTCCCAGTCATTTAATGGAATATGATGGGACACACAAGCTGCTTTTAACAGATCTAGGTTTTTTATTGTTGAAATCTGAACATTTTTAAACATTGCATATGGAAATTCCATGCTCTATTGTATGGCAGCTGTAGTTTACACTGTATTCTGTTATTTGTACCCGTGTTTTGTCTTTTCTGCATTGCTCCGGTATGAACAAGCTGAACAGCTTCCCAAAACATAAACCTTAGACTGTGGCACATGAGCTAGCTGAGCAGTTCCCACATTGTTTACCTGTCAACCCGGTGCATATTTGCATTTCTCATAAAATCTGGCAGCATTCCACAGCAAGCTTCATGCTTCACTGGGAGGGGAAATACGGAATTCTCTTTCTGCAAAATACCCTCTCCACTAAGATCCGGCTTTTCCTACAAAGGCCTTGCAGCACTAAATGCAAGCTCTTGCACAGGCATAAATTCAGACACACGAAACATTCAACATCCGTCCAAAGAAGGGCTCCAAGCAGAGTCCTGTACCAGTTTGGCCCTCGGTGATGAACAGTGTCAAATTTCTCCGGCAAAACTCCAAGGATAGCTCTGCAGGGCAGTGCGGAGCCTCCTTCCATATTTGGCGGACACTATCAAGCAGGTTCAACTTAATTTTTCTACTTTTATGTTGTGCATCAAACAACTCCAAAGAGGCGCTTCTACCGAAGTCTTCCGTGTCTAAGAGAACTGAATTTCCAAGTTTCTAATCAAGATAAATGACCATGGCACACTTATACAAATGTTTTCGGGCGTGCGGCAGGTGTGGATACAATCTAAAAATGTTTCCTTGATCGCATCCTGGGTGAAGCTTGTTAGAGAAGTTTAACTGGCCATGTGGGATCTATTTTCTGGTTCGTTTATCTGCTGGCCTCTCTGGCCTTGAGTTGGAGTGAATTGTTCTGCAGGAGCCCTTTTGTAACACCAAGCGATGCCCCCCCCCCCCCTTGGGTCTCTAGGTCTGGATTGTTTTCTTATCAGTCAAGGTTGCCAAAGATCATTCTTTGATGGCATAGCTGAGGAGAGACAGATTGATTTCCGGCAAGTCAGGAGGCCAAGCTGTTTCATTGAAGGCTGGAATCTCAATTTTAATTCCAGAATTCTCTCGGAGCCGTTTGGCTACACGATTTCCGAACGGGGCAGCAGGGGTGTGATGGAAGATTTAGCCTGGGCGGCCAGTTGCAAAAGTTCAAAGAAGATTTCCAGCCATTCTCCAGTCAGATTTACAACAAGGTCAGCATTGCACCCATAATGCAGTTTGCAGGACTGAGGCTGAAAGAATGGAGGCTTGCCTAAAGCTGTTGCTGCAGTCTGAAGCAGAGGCAACTTGACCAAGGATGGAATTGATGTCTCCTCGGAGAAAAGAGACAATTATCCTGTTGTAAGCCGCCCTGAGGCTTCGGCAAGGGGCGGCATAGAAATGTTCTAATCATCATCATCATCATCATCCTGTAAATCAGACATCTCCAACCTGGGCCCCCCAGATGACTTGCAAATCCCATCAGTTAGCATGATAGGAGCTATGATCCAAAATGGCTCTTGTCAAGTTGGGCAATGTTGCCAACAGCCAGGGAAGAAAAAAACAAACCAGCAGAGCGGTTTATGATGAACGCAGCTTGGCCCTCGTGTTGTGTGTGGATGCCAGAAAAAAGGAAAGCTGATAGCACTGGAGTGAACGTTACTGGAACACTGGAATGAATGTTACAAGTTCGAAAATGTCTTGATGAGGACAAGATGGAAGCCGCAAAAGAGGCTCACAGAACTTAAGGCACAGCAAAACAAGAGTAACAGCTACCACCGTGACATGCAGTGAAGCACGAAGGAAGTCGATTTAACTCCCAGCTCAAGCAGACACAGGCAACTCGGAGATGCCAAAAGGATCAGAATATTAGTATCAACCATACGTTGCAGTTGTCTCCTCCTTTTTCCTTGCAAAAAACCCAAGGCAGCTTATATAGCTCCATTTTATCCTCACAACAGGTAGGACTGGCGAGGTAGATTGGACTGAGAACCTGAGACTGGCACAGAATCACCAGTGGCTTGTGCTGGATGAGAACCCCGACCTCCCAGGCTGGCTTTCTCACCAGAGTACCGCACCAGCTCTCAAACAGCTGGCCTTCCTCACGTTTGTCCCAGCACTTGCGGGCCCGTTGCCAGAAGGACAGTCCTTTTACATCCTCGGCTGCCACGCTGGTAGGCTCAAGGTCTCTCAGTCGTTCTCCGTATAACAACTGGCTTAAGAAAGTGGAGCGACAACAGAAGGAACGGTTCGGTTCATTGCTGAGAATCCTCTGCCATGGATGCGTGAACCAGTCCTCAGTCATTCCCATCTGTAAAATGGGGGCATGCACCTCCTGGAATCTTCCGCCACTGGTTCAGTATGTGCTTTGCTTTGCTTTGCTTTGCTTTATTTATTTATTTGCAGCATTTCTACCCCATCCTTAACAGAGTCTCAGGACGGCTTACAACATAAACAAATAATAAATGAACAGAAAATGTACAACCCAGATGATGCAATAAAATACGGTAGAATGTAATAAATAAGATAGAATGTGGCTAAGCACGAGAATAAAAGTTGTTAAAGATTTAAATATTAAAATGTCAGGGAAATAAAAAGGTTTTTACCTGGCACCGAAAAGAATATGGTGTCAGCGCCAGACGAACCTCTCTGGGGAGCATGTTCCACAGATGGAACTTCTTGCTTGGTGCACTTAAAATCTATATTTTAAGACCCAGGAACAGAAGGGGTATATACCAAGGAACCTGCACAAGGTTCCATTTGGATGCCAGGAAGCACTTCCCGACAGTCAGGACACCGAGGGTGTGCAATGGGCTTCCACAGGAGGTGGTTGAGGCCTCCTCGGTGAGGGTGTTCAAGGATAGGCTGGATGTCCACATGGTGGGCATGTCGTGAGTGGAGCCGGCTGGAGCCGGGGGTCAGACTAGATGGCCCAGGAGGCCCCTTCTGACTCGCTCTGTTTCAATGTTTCTATATGGCCTTTGCTAGGCTGCTGATCACCATGAAATGTTCACATTCACACGCTGGAAACTACAGGTGACATTGCAGAATGATTCCTGCCATCTTGTTCAGACAGGCCGAGTTTTGCACAATCGGAACAGAAAGGGGAACAATAGCTTTGGAAAACGAGTGCTATCAAGATGCTCCACAGGAGCACTTCAGATCATCTCCATCAGGGAGCAGAGCTCACACCCAAGGCCAAATCCAGCCCTCAACTTTCCCAGAAAGCCCCACCCCTTCCCGAAACCATTGTTCTCGCAGTGGTGTCCAATCTTTGGTGCAGTTTTGTGCTCAAATGCCTCTCCCAGGCTTGGCAACTTGGCAGTAAAAGCTTTCAGCTAAGAGAGGGAATTTGGGGGATTCTGGACCCGTCCTTTTAGCCTTTGGCTGCATCCACCGCTTGAACAAGGCCCGGGAGAACTGCTCTGAAATGGAATCTGGCCCTCCAGCGCGAAGAGGTTCTGGCAGCCTGGTCTACATTAGAGAATAATCAGTCCGCCTCCTAAGAGGAATGCATCTTAAAGAGCAGCCGGGTCACCTTTCCCACACTGCTTGCAGGAAACGCCCCTGCAGACCCAGGAACAGGAGGGGCACATGCCAAGCAGCCTGCACATGGAGTTCACATGGAATGTCCACACATAGAAAGTTGCCCCCCAGCTGTAGTTGTGCAACCTTAGCGCTAGGGTGGGCAAGCTCTCTTTCAGAGCGGGCGTCAGTTTGGGGAGCGGGCAAGACAACAGTGGAAGAGTTGTAATGCGAGAGATGGGCTAGGACGGGTGAGAAAACGCCTTTTCTAGATCTCTCCATTCGGCACACCTTGGAAATAGGCCGGATGCCATTTGCACCTGGAAAGCAGTCCATTTCCAGACTCTTCTTTTTCTTTTATTAAATTTATATCCTGCTTTTTCCTTATAACAAACTCAAAATGACTTATACCATTTCTCCTCCTCCTGTCTCAATCTTATCCCCACAACAACAACCTTGTGAGGTAGGTTGGGCTGAGAGTCCATCACTGGCCCAAAGTCCCCCAGTGGGCTCCGTGGCTGAGCGGGGACTTGAACCCAGGTCACCTGAGTCCCAGTCTCATACTTTTAACCACACCACACATGCAGACCAGGAAAACTCATCCAAAAATTCTGAAAAGTGCACGGGTGAAAAATGCATAAAATATAGTTTCGGCAGTGCGTGGTCACATACCAAAAACGCCCCATTTTTTAAAGCACACTGCCAAAATCCATATGGATTCCCCTGCACGGAACCAGCATGGAACTGATTCGAACCCAGACGTATTCTTCTGCATGGAACTGACACAGAATGGACATGAACATGGAAAATGAAGCCAAAGTTTTTAAAAATGCCCATCACTAGAGCAAGAGAAAGGTTAGGACACAGAAACTCTGGTGACGTTAAGATTAAAATTGTCCACGGCACAACCATCATCCAGCACAGCATAGGCCAGCCTCACCCAAGTGCCCATGCTGTCTGGGGGTGATGGGGGTGAGAGTCCCAATGCATTTAGGCAGGCCCTCCCAATGGGAGAAGACTGGCCAGCACTTTCATGTTCATTCTGAGTCACCACAAAACCAACAGCAACACATCACCGCAAAACACAGTCCTTCCACTTACCTTCGGCCGCTTCCACTGCACTCCCTGGATCCGTGACTTGTAGAAGAGGGAATCGTCACTGGCCGGGAAGAGCGGATCCTCAAAGAGTATTTTTTTCCGCTGGCACTCCTTCTTCAAGGCGGAGTAGTGCTGGTTTTCATACGGTTTCACTGACGAAAACATCCTTCCCGGCAGTTACTAGATGGACAGAAGCGAGAAGGATGCTGCCCGTCAGTTCGGAGTCAGGGCATCGGCAAGCACAGCTCGGTCACAAATCGCCCGCTCTGCACACACGAGGGCCAGCCCCGGGCAGGTTCGGCTGAAAAGAGACTGCCGGGGGAGCAGGGGGCGGCTGCCGATCCGTAGCCGGTCCCAGTGGCACAGCTGAATAATTTCAGACCCTGGACTTAGTGGCCCTGTGTGGTCCACTGCCGGAGCAAGGCTCCGTTCTGTGTTTTACAATGCTGCTGATGCACTGGAGCAAGACAAGAGAGAAAATTAAAAATGGTTCACCGATCCTGGCTAAAGAGAAATACTGAGCACCTGCAGGATCAGTTCATTCCGTCGTCATGAATACAAAATAAGACGGTTCTTTCTGCTGCTCAGCTTGGGAACAAGTGCCGTTCTGGTGCAGGAATGGAGAATATTTGTAAGCAGAAATAGTAAAATGAACACCTGCAGCCACGGAAGTGGGCAGCTGACTGTCTCTGACAATGCCTCTTTCAAAAATTGAGATGCTGTGGCCAGCAGTCTGCCCTGGGGGGCTTGTGCCGGACTGGGTGCGGACTCCTTGCCGGTTTGCCACGGTCCCCAAAATTGGAACATCTTCCTGACCTGCTGTTCCCTGGGCCATTTTGGGCAGTCGACCCCCGAGACCCGGCCCTGAGACCCGGCCCTTGCGGCATCACTACAGACCCCCGGTCAGGAAGGTGTTCCAATTTTGCCCCCTGTTAAAGACTGAGCAAAGGCCTCGAGGGCCAGCAATCCCTGCTTAGCCAGTATGAGCCTGTATACCTCTTTATCCCCCCCCCCCCAAATTCTCAGGCACCCACAAAAGAGCAAGCGGGTGAAATGCAGGGCAGGAAAGAGCTCCTCCAGAGCCTCATCCAGTCTCCACAGGACAAGAACAACTCACAAATCATCCTAGGAAAGCTCTTAGGAGAAATAATACAGAATCTATCCCACAACAAGCCATCTGTGATTTCTCAAAACACAGCTGTCGCTCCTCAGACCATTACTGCTAGCATTAATATGCCGTCTTCTTAGTTACAAAGCCATCCAGTTCTTGTGTTCTTAAGGAGGCGTACATTTGCAAACAGTAAAATATTCTTTTTAATTTTTATTATATTTCTCTCCTACCTTTTAAAATTTATCTCTTTACCTTCCCCCCTTCTAAATATATAGATTCAGATACAGTTTTCCAAGGAACTCAAGAGGGCTTAGCTTAAATCATTCTCGTCTGCCTCCTCTCCATTTTATCCCCAGAACAACATCCCTGTGAGGTAGGCTGAAGTGAGACTTATGGCTGGCCCAAAGTCACCCAGGGAGCGCCACGGCCATGCAGGGACTAGAACTCTCCTGAGTCCCAGTCTAGCACTCTAACCACTAGGCCACACTGGATGCCCAATGGGTCTGATGGACTGAGGGTCCTCCTGGGTTCTCAAGGGATAGCCGAAGCATCACATCCAGTGCCTTTTCTCTCTCTGCACTTCTACGGGGACCTGGATGCAGGTCTGCTTTGAGAATATGGTGCCCGTTCCCAGAATGCCACCGCACGGGTGGCCAGGTACGCAAGGTGCTCTCCTGGATCGGGCCAAACTGTCCCCTTGCACATCCTGTTCCTGGCAGCGGCCAACCAGGTGCCTCTGGGAAGCCCAGGAGCCAGGTGTGCAGGTGAGCAGCCCTCTCCAGTCGCTGATGCCAGTCATGGGCAGCAGGAAGGCAGTGCAGCCCAGTGGGGAGAGCCTGCTTTGCACACAGAAGACCTGGCTGGCCACTCAGGCGGGCTCGAAATAGTCCTGCCTGAAACACAGAAACATAGAAAACAGAGCAAGTCAGAAGGGGTCTCCCGGGCCATCTAGTCTGACCTCTGGCACCAGCCGGCTCCGCTCACGACATGCCCACCATGTGGACGTCCAGCCTATCCTTGAACACCCGCACCGTGCGGTGTTCAACACCATGAAGAGCTGCTGCTGCCAGTCTGTACAGACAATAATGGACTAAATGGACCAAGGGTATAAGACCCGCTGCCTGCTATAAGACCCGCTGCCTGCTATAAGACCTGTATGCCTAGAGAGGTCCACCTGGTGCCGTCATTATATGCTTTTCAGTGCCAGGTCAAGACCTTTTTATTTACTCAATATTTTAATGTTTAATATCTTTTAATTATTTTTATTTCAGTCGTGGGCTATTTAATTTTATTATCATTGGGGTATTTATAATAAGATGATGTTATTTATATTTTTAGAAATAGAAGGTAAATAGATGGGGAAGAAATGGAGGTAGTGACAGATTTTATTTTCCTGGGCTCCAAAATCACCTCAGACGGGGACTGCAGCCAAGAAATTAAAAGACTCTTGCTCCTGGGGAGGAAAGTGATGACAAATCTAGACAGCATACTAAAAAGCAGCGACATCACCCTGCCAACAAAAGTGTGTATAGTCAGGACTATGGTTTTCCCAGTCGCATCCTGCATTGAGCCAGAGGGTGGAGCAGATGGCCTCTGAGGTTCCTCTCCACTGCAAAATCTTATGATTTTCTCTTGTGTGGGACAGCATTCCCCGTGTGAGCTTCTCAGCACAGGTTCAGTGGTACGGGCCAGAATCAGCGGCAGCCCCCCCACCGGTTGCCATGTGGGCTCTTGACCAGGACCCAACCTCGCCCAACCCTTCAGGACAATCGCGGGTCCCTTTAGTGAGGCGCACATTCTGCTCTTCATAGAAGATTCAGCTGAGGCTCTTGAACAAGCGGGTCTTTTTCTTTCCCTTTTTTAATTAAAAAGGATTCCTGGACTCAGGCCAAGGACTTCCCGATCAATTACTTTCGGGCAGAGACCTGACTTTCCCCAGACAGAGAAAATCATAATTCCTCACCAGCAGCACCCGGGAACAGCATGGGGGGGGGGGGGGGGAGATTTAAGGTAGCTGATGACTCAGTGCAAGGCAGTTCAGGCTGTACCTGGGCTTCTGAGGGGGGGCGGATAATGGATCGCCTGAGCAGGTAAGGCATTGGGATTTGCTGTCTTGATGCTAATTTACCTTTGGTGGGTTTCCGCCAAAGATTCCTGGGAAATGTATGTTCAAGCCCAGGGGATTGTTCAGAGACCCCAGAAAGGTGGAGGCTGGGATGACTGGCAGCTCACAGGAGGAGCCTGGTGGGGCCGGACCCCACCCCCGGCCACCCCCAAACTGTCAGATGCCAACTAGCTGCTGCCGCTGCCTGAGAGGTGAACACCTGCTCAATAAGAGGTGCATATAAGAGACAGGTATTTTCTGCACGGCACCTTTGAGGAGCTGCGTTAAGGAACTGGAATTTTGTATCAAGAAAACTCTAAACCCTTTACCTTTAAAGGTGGCCTGTTTTTAAACACTAAAATCAAATGAAACAAATTAAGCTAATGTTTCTTTAAAAGAAATGCAAGCTCCTTGGGGCAGAGCTGTATCTTTTTATATGTGCAAAAATATGCAAGAATCATGGCAGTATTGTTTGCTAATTTTGCACACGTTAGTGTGCAAAGCACAAGGAGGGGTGAGAAGTGATCTACACGGGGCCTTAAGTCTGGGGTTCCAGTTCTCAGGTTTTGCCTTAAGGTAGACGACAGGGGCGAGCGACTTGTAGTGTTCCAGATGTTTTGGCCTGCAGGTTGCAAGTCACTGTCTTCCGGGTTAGAAAAGTGTATCCTTTTGACAGATGCTTTGCAGAGTCAATCTTTTGTTATTCTTCCTTATGGTCTGATTTTTTTTTCTTTTTAAAGCTGTTTGAAACTTATTTATTTCATTTTATACCACCCAATAGCTGAGGCCTTATGGGCGGTTAACAAAAGTCTTTTTAATTCTTTCCCCTGATTTTCTGATATTTTATTGTATTTGTATCATCTGTTTTAGTGGACTGTGTAAACCGGCTGTGGGGCAGAATAAAAATGAAGCAAGGCTAGACAAGGGTCCCCTTGTGACACATAGCTTAGGGACTAGAAACTTGTTTTGAAAATAAGGACTGAGATGGAAAGACAGACACAGAGAGAGTTTTACGGATGCTGCCCTGTGTCCTAGATAGCAAGCCCGCTGTTGCCAATGCACACAGACTAATCCCCCAAGCTGGATAAATAGATCAGCATTCTTTCAGTTATTTGAAGATTTAAGCCCTAAAACTAATCCCAGGTGAAGGCTGAGCATGAGCACATCTCTGATGCATCCTGGAGATTATCCCTTGGAGTGGAAAGCAGGCCTGGGCCGCGCTTCCCCATCTCCCCACAATCAGTGCTGCTCTGCGGGCAACTGCACCGCAACCTATGGAAAGGGGAAAAGGAAGGACGCAGCTTTCAGATGCCAGGCAAGGGCAAAGGGTAAGCACTCCAGATATTTTAGACTACAACTCCCATCAACCCTGGGCAATGGTGGGGAGCATGGAGCCAGGGCAATCGTGGGAGGGGCAGAAGCGGTCCTGCTAGGCCTTTCTCCCCACACTCCTCTGGGGCTAAATTAGGGATGTGGAACTTGAGCCCCTCCATCTCCGCAAGAGGGGATTTCAGAGGTCACTCACTTTTTACAACCCTGCAAAGGACCGGGGGGGGGGGGATTTGATGGAGCCCCCAGGAGGAAAAAGACAAGAAAGGGAGCAAAATTTAGTCTGGAAAAGCCTCTGAGCCAGGAAGAGGAGGAGCTCCTTATTGTTGGTGGTGGCAAGGTGGAGATTTGGATTGGAATGAAATCTGAAATTCAAGCATCCATCTGAACCAAGCCGGCCAACTAAATATCCGGTCTAAGAATTAGATTTCATCTAAAAGGACTGAGCCTATGCAGAACCAAATGCTACTCACTTTCTATTGATTTCCATAGAAATAGGCTGCAGTTTTCATTTCCAAACCTGAACAGCGCTTATTGTATGACTCTGTGCTGCACAAAGAAAAATAAAGGAACTGCAAATTTGAGAGAAGGCAGAAAGGAGCAGAAAGGATGCCCCTAAGCCACCGCAAAGAAAGG